TATTCTACCATGAAGGCCTGATTCACACAGTCTCCTCTTAACAGTTGTTCTAGAGAGGTGTCTGCTGCTAGAACTCTGTGTGGCATTGACATGGTCTCTAATCTGAGCTGCTGTTAACCTGCGATTTCTGAGGCTGGTGACTCGGATGAACTTATCCTCTGCAGCAGAGGTGACTCTTGGTCTTCCTTTCCTGGGGCGGTCCTCATGTGAGCCAGGTTCTTTGCAGCGCTTGATGGTTTTTGCGACTGCACTTGGGGACACTTTCAAAGTTTCCCAATTTCTCAGACTGACTGACCTTCATTTCTTAAAGTAATGATGGCCTCTCGTTTCTCTTTACGTAGCTGCTTTTTTCTTGCCATAATACAAAGTCTAAAAGTCTATTCAGTAGGACTATCAGCTGTGTATCCACCTGACTGCTGCACAACACAACTGATGGTCCCAACCCCATTTATAAGGCAAGAAATCCCACTTATTAAACCTGACAGGGCACACCTGTGAGGTTTAAAACCATTTCAGGTGACTACCTCTTGAAGCTCATCAAGAGAATGCAGAGTGTGTGCGAAGCAGTAATCACAGCAAAAGGTGGCTACTTTGAAGAACCTAGAATATAAGGCGTATTTTCAGTTGTTTCACACTTTTTTGTTAAGTACATAATTCCACATGTGTTAATTCATAGTTTTGATGTCTTCAGTGTGAATCTACAATAGTCATGAAAAGAAAGGAAACTCATTGAATGAGAAGGTGTGTCCAAACTTTTGGTCTGTACTGTATATATATAATTCAAATATATTTTAGATACTTTTAAGGTTTTTAAAGGATTGTCACTCAGGTTTTTTACATGGTCTATGCCATACACTGATCAATCATTTATGGGTTTTTGTTGCTGTTTTTGTTGTTGTTGGTCTTTTCATTAAAAATCTAGTCTATTAGATACCACTGTACTAATCTTAAAATGACAAATGGTAAAATTGTAAATTGTGTGCACTTGTAGAGGTACTCAAAGCACTTCACAATGTGTTTCTTATTCACCCATTCACACACAATCATACACCAATGGCGACAGAGCTGCCATGCAAGGCGCTGCCTGCCATTGGGAGCAACTTCGGATTCAGTGTCCCTCTTTACATGTTCACTGCAACATGTGGAGTGGCAGGGGATCAAACTGCCAACCTTGTGATTAGAGGACAACCACTCTACCACCTGAGCCACAGCCGCCCATGATGGTAATTATCAGCTGACACCATAAAGAACTTCAGAAGCTCATTAAAAATGAATTTGCAACCAGATTAGGTACATTTACTATAAATTGTTGCATGGGGACCATAGGGAGTTGTACAAGAAAAATATTTTACAAACATATGTATTTGCCTGAGGAAGGTCTAGAACCGAAATGCTGCCCAACAAAATGTATCTTTAGAAGTTCAATCGTGTGAGGGAGTCTATTGAACATGGTAGTGTGGATTGTAAAAGCAGCAACTCGTGTCTTTTACACTGTCCCTCTACCCACCTACAGTGGAAACCAAGCTAAAACATAAGTGCAACAAACTGACAGCACATCCCCAGACTTAGAGGGTCTGAATGGTGATAAAATGCCTACACACATGTCAGGTCACAAACAGCAGTAAGCTCAGTCAGACCTCCTCTCACCTGAATGTAATGAAAAGATACGACCAGGCACCACAGGCTTCCTGTTGACCAGAGCGAAGGACAGCTCTGTCTGCAGGAACACAGCAGAGGCCTTGATGAGATGCTGTCCAAAGCGTAGGGTTGACATGTTTCATTGATTCACAGGCCTGAAAGAGAAGCAGAGGCAGCAGGTGGTCAATAACATCAGGTTGAAGTAGGATTTTTTTCATTGCACACATGTACACGCAGCGAAACACCCTCACTGAAGAATGTGATTGACATTTCTTTATTTGATTCAGATCTGATCTGGCTGAAGGTGATTCTGAATCCAACAAGGAAAACATTAAAACCAATATAATAAAAATAACATATATATTACAAATTTGCATGTAAGAGATTCAAAAATAATGTCTAACCACGACTTTACCCTCTGACTGCTTTCACTGGCTGACTTTTCAACATCTTTAAATCGATAATAACTGTGGTAATTAAGTAAGGCTATTCATAAAATTATGGGTACAGACTAAAACTATTGTTTTAATGCTTTTTGTGTTAATGTTTCACTTGCATAACCCCTTACACTTTTCTTTTCTTTTTTTTTTTTACTGTACAAAATAAAAAGCAGTGACAGTGAGACGAGTCCATCTGAGATTCCACCTTACCTGATGGACCAGGTATTGGTTTTGATTGAGTGTAGTTTGAACAGCAACTTTTCTTTAACATAACTTCAGCAAATGCAGAAGAGCCAAGGGAGTGGTATGGTGTGATTGCGTGATGGGGGGATGTAATTTGTCCCTGACACTACAATACTAATCAAAACTGTAGACAAGGCCAAAAGTCTAAAGCCATGGCAACAGCTATACAAGGCACAGTAGTGCTCAATGCTAAAATCAACCTGTTATTGTGCAGTTGCTAAATAGTGCTAAACAGCACAGCTGGAGCTTGCAGTAATATCAAGGTACTGGACAAACTAAGAGAGTAGGGTCACTGACCAGAAATCACAAGTCACACGTGTGTGTTCACTGTTTTCATCCTGTAGTGCCACATACCTGTAACACTTCTATCTACATTATCCCACATATGATGGATGGGTGACTTATCTGAAGAGTATGCAGGCCATGATAGAGATGGAAAATTTTCATCTACTAGAAGAGCAGTGCATGTTCTGGCAACAGGAGGACACATATTGTCTTGTTCAGATGCCATGTGATAGTAAAACATGAATGGAATAACCACGGGTGCAAGGATGTCATCTCGATATGATTGGGCATTGCGATTGCCATCAACACCAAACACATCTGACAACTGCTCTGTACAGCTTCAAGCTGGATTATCAGTGAAAAGGACCACCCTCTATCTTGCTAGTGTCCAATGACTGCTGTCCGCGGATCCCAACCCCAACCCCTCCTGCTGTCACCCCACCCCCTCATCCCCACTCTCACCCCAACAAGGCGAGACCAATGGCCACCTTCCCTCAGGCTGGTTCTGTTGGAGGTATTTTGTTCCTCCCAATTAAAGGTTTTTTTTTTGTTTCTTTCCACTGCTGCAGACTGCTTTCTCATAGGGAATCCAATGAATTATTGTGTGCTCCTTTCTTTGTTTAAAATTCATAAGGCCTTCACCTTATGTGAAGTGCTATGGAATGACATGTGTTGGAAATTGGCGCTATAAAAATGAAACTGAATTGAATTGAATTGAATTGAAACTGCAGTAATATCCTAGTGAACCCAGTTACAACATTGTTCTACCATTAGATCTAAGGGCTTGGTGTGAGCAATGAGATTGCCTACCAGCTTTCCTCAGGCAACTTCTCACACTTTGAGCAGACATTCTCTGGTTGTGCACACCACTGAATTCATCAGCAGTCTCTTCAGATATGCTCACAGTCTTGCATATAGATGATCATGGGTTCAGGTGGTGACACGTGGTTTGCAGTCATGTTTGCCTATCTACCATGCTGTCTGAAACTATTTCTTAGATGACAAGTTATGGACATTTAAAGGAATGAACACTCATATTTATATATTATACATTATATATTTATATTTATAGCTCAAAACCTGTTTGTGTACAGTGGGCTAAATTTAACTATTCTCTAATCATAACAACAGAAATTAGATTTTATTTTCTCTCTGAAGTCAACAGAAAAAAGACATGTTGTATATTTAGAACTTTCCTGGCTTTTCGTGCCCTCCAAAAATCCTTCATGTCTAACAATATGAGAAGGAAATATCAATCTTTGGTTTTACTCTTTCAAGTACATTTAACTTTATAGTGACCACAAATGGACCTGTCAAGTGTTTAGAAGTCAAAAGTTTTAGTTGCATGTGCTTTTTTTCTTCTTGTTTGTTTGTTTGTTAATCCTGTGGTTTGGGAGAGGGATTCTCAGTTATAATTTGGTGGTTTCTTACAGTAGCTTTGTCTCAAGTGACTACTGAGCACGTGGTGTTATAAATAAGTGTTCATTCCTTAATCTTTATTAACTAAAGCAGTTAAAAAGGGGACATGAACATGTGGCAAATGATGACTTATTCAAAAGGTAAAAGGGGCCTGAGAGCTGCTGATGGAAACAATAATACATTGCTAAAACTCTGTTTATACTTTCTTTTTTTTTTTTTTTTTTCCTGTTTATACTTTCTATCCAAATAGGACCATGGTAGTGGGTTTTCTTTGGGTTTGGTGGTAATCACAGCAGAAGTGACAAAACACATGATTGTGGGCTATAGTTTCTCTGTCAGTGAAACTGCTGTGGTGGAGAGATGAATGTATCTTACTGGACCGTGTCCTAGACAGAAACACAGTGTCACATCTGACAAACTCCTCCATCGATATTACATGGTTGACATCCTGCTGTGAGAAGTTATTGTTATGACCACAGAATGTACAGACAAGCTGAATTCACCACAACCATATTCTGTCTGTTGTTAAAGATGAAAATGAGACTCACAGTGGTCCTGATAAAAGCAGGGAAAATCCCTTGAAATCAAAATGAATCAGAAATTATGTTAGCATCTAAATAATACAAAGTTGGATATACATTTTAATCTGTATCGAAGTGTGAATCTGCCCCTTTCCAAGATAAAACTGTGTGTCATGCTTGTTGTTAGACTATTTTCTTTGAATCGCCTATTGGCTGACGTTCACAGATTCATCCCAGGGCTAAACCCATATCGTTGCATCAGTATGGTTTGGGACAGAATGTGTGTCTTTTGATATATTGTATGAACTCTTCTGTGGAATGGGAGGCAGAGCCTTCAGTTATCAGCTCCTCTGTTATGGAATCAGCTTCCAGTTTGGGTTCTGAAGGCAGACACCCTCTCTACCTTCAAGGTTAGGCTTAAAACTTTCCTCTTAGATAGAGCTGATAGTTAGGGCTGCTCAGGATCACCTGGGGTTCATTTCACAAAGCAGGTTTAGTGAAAAAAATCTGACTTTCCCTCATTTCAGGGTTAACAGATTCAGAGTTTTCACTAAACCTGCTTTGTGAAACGGATCCCCGAGCTGTCCCTTAGTTATGCTATTATACACTGTTAAAAAAAAAAAAAAAAAAATTGCGTTCTTGAAATATTATTTTTCTATTTTTAATCTGCAATGAGTTCCACTGTGTCAGCGCAAGGCTTCGTTTGGGTGTTGCACAGCTTGTCTAAGTTCAATTAAAATATGAAATATTTATTTAAATGTCTAATAAACAAAATAAAACAAATGCAGAATCTATGAAACTGCAAATATTTTACAGTTCAAAGCTGAGTGAATTGAAGTAATATTAGAACCTATTTTGCTGTGACCAGATATGTTCAGCAGTCATGTCAGAAAATCTGGTCTGAAAAACCTGGAAACATGACATAAAACATATGTTTACCTTCAAACTGTGTGTGTGTGTGTGTGTGTGTGTGTGTGTGTGTGTTTTCAGCCACACAGAATTATGCCATCAGCATGTATCAGAATAGAAACTGTTGATTTTTTTTTTTTTTTTTAAATCAAAAGCGAGTTAAACATACAAAATAATAATAACACTTTGCTTCATAGTGGTCTTTTTGTTTGTTTGTTTGTACAATTTCTGTAACTCTTCTTTAAGTACGCAGTGTGCTTAATTTAAATTGAAAATCTACAGAGTACAACAAATTGTTTGTCTTTAAACAAACATCAAAATCCCTTAAGTACATGTTGACAAAAACATGTCTTTCCCTGTTGAGCATGTCCATCTAAAGTGGAGAGAGTTGTGGGTACAGAACACTGGAGGGCGGGGCATGCTGGTGTGCCACTGTGACCAATTTCATCTCACCTAATAACTGTAACTGCACCTCCTCATTTTAAAACATGTGTTTGGCTTACTGTAATGGGGTTAAATGGTGCCAAAGTGATTACATGGCTCCCTCTTGGTGGCCTACGTGGTCTGACAGAGGCAGAGGATGGGAAAAGAGGAGCCAGACAAAGGCTGGAGAATAGAGATAATCACTGCTTCCTCCTTCCTCCCATCTTTTCTCTGTTCTTCTACCTGAACTGCTCAGCCACCACAGAGGGAGAACCAATGGTAAATTTGGATTTGGTCCCAGAAGACTCATTCACTCTGTCTTACCAGCTGTCTTTTCTGCATTAGCATTCCAAATGAAGTCTGACAATTCCACACAATTAAGGATCAGGATACTGCAATTACTTCACTGTGTGCAACGATGACCCAATTAGTGTTTACTTTACACAGATTTTACCACTGTAATTTGTGAATGCCAGCCTGTTCAGCTACCAAAGCTAAACTGATTTCTTTCTTTTATTGAGAACACACACACAGCACAGGTCATGTGTTCAACTGAGGAAACAGAGTTCATTTCAATGTATTTAAAGGATTTAAACATTTTAGTTGCTTGTGAAAATCCAAGAGTCCACCAGGGTCTTCCTAAATAATTAAGTCTGTATAATTCCCAATCATACAGGTCATGGTAACCCTTGAAGCTTCAGTAGAAAGTGACTGCAATTTTCTTTAAGGTTTTTAAAGACATTTCACCTTTCATATAGAAGGCTTTTTTTTAAAAAAATGACAATTAACTGTTTAGCACCTTGGACCAGTAAATGGTTATTGGTTATCACACTGAGGCTTTGGTCAGATTGAGGCCAGGTGCTCAAAACCATTGGCTCTAATAACTCATTGCAATGGTGTGAAAGAGAATGTAAA